AGCGGTAATAACCTGCCATCCCTAGGAAACTGCGAATTTCCTTAACTGTTGTCAGTCTTTCCCAACCAAGTACTGCTTCAACCTTTTCGGGGTTCACCGACACCCCTTCCTTCGATATAACATGTCCTAGGAAGGCGGTTTGTTCGAGCCAAAATCCACACTTGCTCAACTTCGCATACAACTTCTTTTCCCTGAGCACCTGTAGAACTTGGGCAAGATGATGAGCATGTTCTTCCCTACTCTTTGAGTAGACTAAGATGTCATCGATGAACACGATGACAAATTTGTCCAAGAATTCTCTGAAGATTCTGTTCATCAGATCCATAAAGATGGCAGGGGCGTTGGTTAGCCCAAACGGCATAACCAGAAACTCATAGTGTCCGTACCTGGTTCGGAATGCCGTCTTGGGGATGTCTTCTGCTCTCACTTTTACCTGATGGTAACCTGATCGTAGATCTATTTTAGAAAAGACCTGTGCACCCTGTAACTGATCGAAAAGGTCATCAATCCGGGGAAGAGGGTACTTGTTCTTAATTGTTACCTTGTTTATCCTCCTATAATCAATGCACAGTCTCAACGTTCCATCCCCTTTCTTTGCAAAAGTAACCCCGGCACCCCATGGGGAAATGCTGTGTCTAATGAAGCCACTGTTTTGTAGCTCAGTGATTTGTTTCCTTAGCTCTTCCATCTCGATGCGACTCATTCGGTAAGGAGCTACTGAGATGGGCTGGGTACCTGGCTGTAAGTCTATGGTGAACTCGACCTCCCTGTCCCTTGGTAGGCCGGGCAGTTCATCCGGGAATACATCTGGAAAGTCTCGGACTACTGGAATCTCTTGGATACAAACTTCTTTCTTGGGTTTACCTAGTTAGAGAAAATACAAGATTAAGGCACTGGAAATCGAGAAAGAAACTTGCCATTTGGGAAATCAGTGCTGAATAATTTTATTAACTTGTAAATGGCTCCTCGTTGGGATGATTAAATACAATCTTTTTGCTAAAGCAGTCTATGGTGGCGTGATACGCCGCTAGCCAATCCATTCCTAGGATTACATCAAAATCCCCCGTGTCTAAACCTATCAGGTTTACCCTCAATTTCCTATCTGCTATCTCCACGGCACATGCCCTGTAGACAACCTCTCCTAGCAATGTCTCCCCCCCCCAGCAGTAGATACAAGCAATAATGAATCAAGTCTATCAGGTGATACACAAATTTTGGAAGCAAGAACATGTGAAATAAAAGAATGTGATGCACCAGTATCAAACAAAACATGAGCAATATGACCAGAGATAGTATACATACCATGTACCACGTCCGGGTCTGCGTCGGCATCCTTCTGGGTAAGGTTGTAAACTCTGCCCTAGATTGGAGGCCTTCTCTGATTCTGGTTCCTAGGGCATTCCCTTGCATAGTGCTGGGCGCTGCCGCATATGCGACAGGTATCGTTGAGGCGGTAACAGGGTCGGTCCCCGTGATCCCTGCCGCAGTATTGGCAGATCTTCCCACGTGCTGCCCCCGTAGTCTGAGGAGGGGCCTGGACGGCGGGTCTGGGCCTCTTACTGGGTTGGACAGGCATGATAGGTGCTGGCCTGCGGAGCGGGGCTGAGAGTCGGGAACTTCCCGCTAGTTGAGGGTGGGTGTCAAAGCTCCTCTCTATGATCTGCGCCTTCGCCAAGACTGCCGAATACGTCTCGAGCTCCATCACGAGTAAGTGCTGTCTGATCTCCGGGCGGAGACCCCACTGGAATTTCCTGGCCTTTCGGCCCTCATCCAACAATGTCTCCGGGGCATGTCGGCCCAGCTCCAGGAACTTGTGGGCATACTCCGACACTGTCATATTACCCTGGACCAATTGAGCAAATTCTATTTCCTTTAAATGTTGGATGTGTTTCGGGAGATACTCCGCATGGAAGGCTGCTAGGAACTGCTCCCAAGTAACTGGTACAGGCAGGGTGGCCCGCTTGAGTTCCCACCAGCGTACCGCTTCCCCTACCAGCATGTAGGAGGCAATGGCAGCCCTCTGCTCAGGAAATACTCCCAAGGTCTCGAAGGCTCTCTCAGTCTCGGCCAGCCAATATTGGGCCTCTTCGAAAGAGGATCCCCCTGCAAAAGTAGAGGGGTTCAGTCTTCTGTACCTCTCTATGAAGCCGGGATCGATCAAGGAATGAGCGGGGTCCCGAGGTAGAGGGGCTGGGGCCGGCTGAGGGTGAACTGGGGAACCCTGTGGTGGAATCTGCTGATGTGGTGGGGGTACTGGAAAGTGCTGTGGCGGTGCCTGCTGGTACTGTGGCTGTGGTACCGGGTCGTACCGCGGCTGTGGTGCCGGTTGGTACTGTGGAGGAACAGGCTCCTGCCGGGGTGGTACGGGATCAGCCTGCTGTAGTGGGGGCTCAACCTGCGCTAGCGGAGGAGGTCCGGGTAACTCCCTTCTCTCCTATTGCCTTCGCTGAGCAGCTACGAGAGCCTCCACCATCTCATACAGTCTGTCAAGATCCTCCCGAAGCGAATTATCCTGCGCCGCTCGGTTTAGTGGGGGCCTTCCTCTCCTCATTCCCGTGTACCTGCATTCACAAGGAATGATTGAGTAACGATATATCGGTGAGTATTTATCTAAGGCACTATTGTGTAAGGGATGGGTCCGAGGAAACGTGGCTCTGATACCAACTGTAACGGCCCCGGAAATATTAAAATGAAATGAGTATTTAAATATATCAAATGCGGAAGCGAAATCAAAATTTCAGTTAACATCCCTTACACGAAAACTAAAAACGTACTTAAAATACAAAAGATTAAACTAACTAAAAGAGAAACTCGAAATTTAAGCTATGAGTATGACTACAGAGTCTCTAGGCATCCCTTTCATCGTCCTCCTGCGGAACGGGCTCGGGAACCATGTCTTCCTGATCTGAAATGGTTAAATAAGGAGTGAGCTACACTAGCCCAGTAAGAACATCACGATATCTCACCGTCACGGAGGTAAAGGTGGGTAGAAAAACACAAAAAGACCAATGGAGCATAATTTACAACAAATCCTTTTATTTATGATAAAACCTTTTACCTTCCACTTACCTCGGTGGAATTTATGAAACAATATAAGAAAAACAATAACATTATCATAATCATGGAATAATATAAGCTGTAAAACATAACACTTATCACGTCTCTTGTAATTCAATCATTATACAACATATCTTTTTCTCATTTACCAGCCTACTAGTATCCGTGGGGGTCCATAGGAGTCCCGCTACCCGTTAACCTTTAACATTCATAATCAGTTTCCAGGGCCGTCCCCATACCCCGTCCGGTATGGGCGCCAAAACTATAAACCTCAATACCCCGTCCGGTATGAGGGTGAAACGGGCCGTCCCCATACCCCGTCCAGTATGGGCGCCAAAATCATAAACCTCAATACCCCGTCCGGTATGAGGGTGAAACGGGCCGTCCCCATACCCCGTCCGGTATGGGCACCAAAACCATAAGATCTCCATACCCCGTCCGGCATGTGAGACCACAATCCCGGTAGGGTTCCCTACGGACCCGGTCCGTCTACCATCTCCCAGGATATCTAGTCAGGCTGACCCCATAATACAATTATCGGTCTACACAATCTTTTATTTTCCTTTTTTTTTCTCAATCAGCATCATCAATTCACATTTAAACAAGCAAATTGTAATTCATGCCAAACAAACAACATACAGTATCAGTTTTTCAGTCATTCAACCCATAATTAATAAAAAACGTAGTATATGCACACAAATCTATAAAATGAACACATCAAACCTCATTTTGCATTTAAAGCAGTAAACAGGCCAAATAACAGTAAATCACCAAATCACACTGGACTCGGGCTCCATTAGCCACCTTAAGCAATTTCACACATTTGTTAATTCAAGAAATACCGTTTTATCATTTTGAACTTTAATACCGTGATAGGAGATAGGGTGAGGGGTCCTTACTCGTTTCGGGGTCCGAACACGGCTTCACAGTGCGCTTGCAGGCTGTCCCTAATTTTCCCTGAATTTCCTCGGGGAACTGGAACGCACTACTGGTACCTGCACGTGTTCTAAAAAATTCCCAAATTAGGCCCAGGGCCCCTTTCGGCCCAAATCGCAACTTCGGCACGGCGGCTCCGCCGTGCTCCGGCGACGGCACCGCCGCTGGCGGCGGCGAGTCGCCTCGGGTTGGCTGTTTTCGGCCGTTTCCGGCCGAATTCAGCCACACTCGCATGGGTCCCTGTGAGAAAACAACCCTAGGGCCCTCGGGGGGCCAAAAAATCACGGAAAAACGGAGCTTACCGGCGGCGGCGCTCTCGGGTGCGGCGGCTCTCCGGCAAAGTTCGTGTTTTGGTGATTCGGCTCCGGTCAACCTGTACAGAAAAGATGGTGATCACGGTGATATAAAAATTG